CAAGGTCGCACCTGCAGCCACTGTGTGGCCCAGGGGTCAGCGTGGGGGGGCCGAGCCCCCGGGGAAGGCCACCCTTGGTTCATTTAGGTGCGGGGTGGAGCCCTCGGGGGTGCGCCCACCTGTCTCCTGTCGTCCCTGCACCCCTCCCTTGGCTTCCTCCTGGTGTCCCCCGCCCCACCCGCCTGCCCAGTACTGCCTCCATGGCTGCCCGGGCATAGGTCAGTGTGGCCGGCCTGGCCTTGAACTCTCGTTCCCAGCACGTGCTGGCGGGGGGGGGGGGGGGGGGGGGGGGGAGGGGTGAGTGGGAGACCACTGACCCAAGCTTACTCTAGTCCTGTGTGCTCCTGGGGTGTCCAGCCCAGCGGGCCGGCCGAGCAGGGGCAGGGCAGGCTGCCTGGTGTCCTGGCTCCCAGCTTTGCAGGGGGGCCCTTTCTCCCCACCTGGCAGAGTCAGGTATTTCCAAACTCCATCTCCAGGACCCCTTGCCCCCCCCCCCCCCCCCGGGCTCCCCAGCAGGTGGGTGTAGTGTGGGACAGGGTGTGAGCGGGAGGGCCGGTTCAGGAGCAGGAAGAAGTGTCCTGCTGGCTGGCACCTGGCAGGGACCACTGAGCTCCAGGTGGAGACCCCCACCGGGAAGCCCCCTACTCACCCCACCTTTGTCCAGTGCAGACAGGTAGGAAGGGGGCTGTGCCTGGCAGTGCCCTGGCCTCGGGCCTCCTCCCCCTGCAGGGGTCCCGCCTGCCCCTCACCGTGCTCCAGGAGAGCACCCCAGCCCTGCGGGCATCTGTGCTGTCCTTCCTGTTCCCGGGCGCCAGTGGCTGCTCCTAAAGGGAGTGGAGTGTGCTGGGGTGGGCCTGAGAAAGGGGATGCAGCAGTGCCCAGCCGAGATGGGGGCACGGTAGAGCACCTGCCCTGCCTGGGTGAGGCCCTGGGGCCAGCCTACCCCAGCCAGAAAATTCTTTATTAAAAAATTAAGATAATGGGCCGGAGCAATAGGACAGTGGGGAGGACACTTGCCTTACATACGGCAGATCCGGGTTCAATCCCCGGCATCCCATAGTGTCCCCCGAGCACCACCAGGAGTAATTCCTGTGTGCAGAGCCAGGAGTAACCCCTGAGCATCGCCGGGTGTGACCACAGACCAAATAAACAAGATGAAATCAGAGCCAAGGTATAGCAGGTAGGGCACTTGCCTTGAGCCGACCCAGGTTTGACCCCTGATCCCCCATAGGGTCCCCTAAGCCTGCCAGAAGTGATCCCTGAGCACCACCAGGTGTGGTCCAAAAAAATCTTAAGATGAGCACAGGGCGGGAAATGGGGGTGCAGCGTCCCCTCAGCCCCTCGTGACCACTCTAGGGCCGTGCAGCACTGTGTCCTGGACCTTTGCGCTAAACTGCAAGCCCAGGGTTTCTCTTCCCCTTTCTTTTTTTTTGGGGGGGGGAATATACCTGTTAGTGCTCAGGGCTATTCCTGGCTCTGTGCTCAGGGGACCGTGTGGGGTGCTGGGGATCGGACCCAGGAAGGCAATTGCCCCAAGCTGCGCTGTTGCCCCAAGAGGCCGTGGGGGAACTCCGGACCTCCTGGCACCTCTTGGGGACCCCCTAAAAAGAAAAGACAAGAGCAGAGGCAGTGTGTCGCCCTCCCTGAACAGGTCACCCAGGACAGTGTGGGAGGGTGGCTGGGTTTCTTCATGATTGTCCTGGCTGCCAACCTGCCCTCCGGAACCTTCCGTGTCTTCAGCCGGCCAGCCACAGCTTATCAGATATTGTGTGTGTCCGTCTGTCAAGCATCATTCCGTCTGTCTGTCCATCCGCTACGTGAGGGCACAGGGACTAGCGAGTAGGGCAGGCCCAGCAGGCCAAGGCTGGTGGAGTGGAGGGGCCCGGGCCTGTCTCCCTGCACCTGCTTTCTGAGGTCCGATCTGGGAGAAAGGCAGCGGGCCACAAGGATCCAAGGCAAGCAGGCATACAGCCTTGATGGGGCCGTGGGTTCTACCCTGCCACAGAGCCTGGGAGCAACAGCCAAGAACAGTCGGGCCAGGGTGCCTGGAGCCAGTTCCTGCCAGCCCCACTGACTGCCAGGCAACCCTCTGGGAGAGCCGAGCAAGCCGGGGTGTGGGGAGAGGCCCCCTTTGCCAGGCCGCGGTCCCACAGTCTTGATGACTATCTTCCTGAGGCCCTTTTTTATGGGGGGTGAGGGGGCAGGAGTTCAGGGTCATGTGGCTGCTGCCTCAGGGCATGGGCCTGGTGGAGCCAATGCCTCCTGCATCCAGTCCAGTCCATCCCTGTCTGCTTACTGGTCTCTCCCACAGCATCATCAGCTGGTTCGTCCGGTCCTTCAAGTACCTATACGGCCTTCGCTTCAAGATCGAAGGACGCCAGAAGCTACAGGGGCAACGGCCCTGCGTCATCATCTCCAATCATCAGAGTATTCTGGACATGATGGGTAGGCCCTCGGGGCGGGCTCCAGGGAGGGGAGGAAACTGAGGCGGGAGAGGACAGGACCAGCCCCAGCAGCGGGAGGAAGGGCGCAGCCCCGCCCCTGGCTCCGGCGGGCGGGGCCGGTCGTCAGCAACCCTCTGGTGGGCGTGGCGTGGCCCCAAGACCCGCTCCTCGCCTAGGTGGACGACCTATCCTGAGACCCGCCCCTCGCTGAGGTGGGCGTGACCTGCCAGGGGCCCGCCCCTCACAGCGGCGGGCGACCTATCCCGAGGCCCGCCCCAGCCGCGATGGGCGGGGTCTGGCCCTGAGCCCGGCCCCGCCCCTTGCCCCGTGTAGGCCTCATGGAGATCTTGCCGGAGCGCTGCGTGCAGATCGCCAAGCGGGAGCTGCTGTACACGGGGCCGGTGGGCCTCATCATGTACCTGGGGGGCGTGATCTTCATCAACCGCCAGCGCTCCAGCACGGCCGTGTCCGTCATGGCCGAGGTGGGCCAGCGCATGATCAAGGACAGGGTGAGCGGCCGGCCCCGGGAGGGATGGGGGTCCAGCGCGGGGCTTGGGCTGCAGCTGCCCTCCCGTCCCTGCAGCTCAAAGTGTGGATCTACCCTGAGGGTACCCGGAACGACAACGGGGACCTGCTGCCTTTCAAGAAAGGGGCCTTCTACTTGGCCATCCAAGCCCAGGTACGGGGCGGCGGCGGGGACCGCCGGGCCGGGCGGAAAACCCCAGGGGGGTCTGGAATTGGCGCGCAGGGCTCCAGACCCCAGCACCAGCCCCCGGGGCCCTCCCCGAGTCTGAGCGTGAAGCTGGTGCCGGCAGAGACGGAGGGGCCACGCCCCCCAGTCGGTGGGCGGGGCTGCCCTAGCCGAGGGACACGCTCGATGCAGATCCCGTGCACCCCTGGCTGGTGCGGTTCCGAGGTGCCCAGGAAAGGGAGCGGCCCAGGAGGGCGGGGTGCCCTGTCAGGACCCGGGTCTCCCTCCTGCCATACCGGGCCCCGCCCGATCAGTGAGAGGTGACCTCCGGCGCCCCCTGGCGCCCGCCCTGGGGAGCGCGCCTTGCGAGTCCCAGCGGCCGGGGCGCGCGGGCGGCGCCGCGGTCAGAGTCCGTCTCAAGCTGCCACACGCAGGTGACTGATGTCACTTCCCTGACTGGTGGCGTGGGGGAGAGCTCTTGGGAGGAGAGCGGGGCTGTGTGTGGGTGGGGGGTTGTCCAGGGCCCAGGGTGGCTCGGCGGGGCGACTGCCCGCAGCCCGCATTGGGGCCTGCATCCTAGCTAGCTCGGGGCTGCCCCTCCCAGCCCTCTGCGGGTACCTAGCGACCCTGCCCTGCCCGCCTTCTGCGCTGACCTCCCGGTTAATGATTACCGCTGGGGAATCGTTTTCGACATCAGTTACCGCTGGACTTGACCCTGGTATCTCGCAGGAACAGCCCCCGCCCGCCACCCACCCCTACCCACTCCCCGGGAGACAGAGGGGCGAGGCTTGCAAAGAGGTGTGGGCCAGCAGTTCTGCAGCTGGACTGGACACACCCTCTCGGGGAACCTGAGACCCTGAGGGGGACACCGACAGGAATCTGTCCAGGAAGGCTGCCCGGAGGGGGTGTTGGGGGGACTATGTCCCTGCTGGGTCTCTTGTTTTTATGTTTTGAAATAAAACAAGTTTACTTGAGAAATAAGGGGAGAGAAAACAACGAAGAGAAGTGCTCCGGAGAAAACGGGCTTCTCCAGAGTGGAAAAAGTCTTGCTCAGTGGGCTTAAGGACTGGGTGACCCGGCACATGCAGGCCCTCCCACCACCGGAGTCCGTGTCAGCTCCTGGGCAGTACAGCACATGCACCACAGCCCCCGCACCTCGTGAGGAGCAAGCCCTGAGGATGAGAGTGGCCCCTGAACAAAGCAAATGGACCAGTGGGGTCAGGAAGTGGCTGCAGGGTGGGCATGCGGCTCCCTCGGGTGGGAACCAGACCACCTCTTTCCTTGCAGGTCCCCATCATCCCTGTGGTCTACTCCTCTTTCTCCTCCTTCTACAATGGCAAGACGAAGCTCTTCACCTCAGGTGACCACTTCCCCAGGGGTGGCCAGGAGGGAGTGACCAGGGCCCTCTGCCCACGTGTGAAGGCAAGGCGCCAGGGTACGGCCCCATGGGGGGCCGGGTTCTTCCTGGGGAACAGTCTGGGCCTGGGGTGCCCGGTGCTGCCAAGGCCACAGTGTGGGGCAAGTGTCATCAGGCAGAGCCTGGCCAGCCCCAAGTGACACCCGCCTCCCCCAGGGACCATCCAGGTGCAGGTGTTGGACCCCATCTCCACCACGGGCCTCACCGAGGCTGATGTCCCCAAGATCCTGGAGAAGTGCCACCACCTCATGAGGGACACCTTCTTCTCCATCTCCAAGATGCCCCAGGAGAACGGGGCAGCTGTGGCATCGAAAGCGCTGTCGCCACAGTAGCTGAGGCCACACAGGGCCACCTGGCCACAGACAAGGGGTCCTTGGGCTGCTCCCGCCCGGCTCCGACCCCAGCCATCTCGTGCTCCCGCAGGATCGGGTGTAGGAGCCAGGCCCGAGCTGGACGCCGCCACCCGCCTTGCCCAGTGGCAGCTCTCGGGAGAGGCGCCGAGCACTGGGCCTCCGCAGCCTCGCAGGGCCGAGAACGCGGTGCCCTTGTTTTTATAAACGGACCGACACACACACACACAGAAGGCTGAGCCGCAGTCACTGGGGCCTGCGTGGGTCCAGGAAGGGGCTGGGCGGTCCCCCTGCTGCGCTGAGTCAGGGCCCCTCCCGCAGGGCCGCCCCGGACTCCTTTCAGTCAGCCACAGACACACTGCTCCGAGCTCTCGGCTTTTATTCCCAGGGTCGGGTGGGCGCTCCCGGGGTGGCCCCTCCTGGGCCCTCAGGCGTCCTTCCTGCAGGAACCTGCAGAGATGGGGGGTGGTCAGGGCCCGGCGGCCCATGCCCTGAGTGCCCCTGGTGACAGGCCGGCACTCACACGCACCGAGCTGCTCCTCCAGGAAGGCCACCTGGTCGCTGAGTGAGTCAATGCGCTGAAGCTGCCGCAGGGAGTGTGCCAGCAGGCGGCCGGGGTCCGGGGAGCCGCGCAGCGGGGCCAGCACCGACCGCAGCTTCTGGGGGAATAGGCCGCTGGGGAGCGCCCGGCACTCGGAGCCCCGCCCCCACCCCGCTGGCCCCAGGGCCTCACCTGCTCGAGCGCGCCCACCCGGGAGCGCAGTGCCCGCACCTCTTCCTCCACCTCGCTGCGGGTCCCTGGGGAGATAGGCGCTGAGCCCCCCCCCCCCCCCGCCCGCCCCTCCGGCCATGGGCCCGGGCCCGGCCGCTGCCTGTCGTGAGTCTCGGTGCTGGGCTGCCGACGGCGCATTATTACTCACGGTACGAGTTTGCAGTGTCACAGCGCGTACCAAAAGTAATAATGGCCCGTCGTCAGCGGCCTCGGTGGGCACGGCCGGCCCCACCCCCAGCCAGGGGTTGGCTGCAACCCAGGGTCCCCCCATGCAAGCAGGGGGCAGACAGGGGGCTCACCTGGAAAGGGGCTTGAGGTCGCCCCCGGGGGCCCTCTCTCGGGCGGACAGAGCACCCCACTGGCCGATGGGCACTGCCCCTCCTGAACCTGGCACCAGAAACTGCCCGGGGTGTTGACACAGCGCTGGGGACAGCCGCTGTCCGCGGCTCGACACTCATCCACGTCTGGGGGGACAGGGTGTCACGCAGGGTCACTATCTATGCCCTCACCCCCCCCCCGGGCCGGCCCCTGCTCACCAGTCTGGCAGAAAGCACCCTGCCACCCCACAGGGCAGAGGCACCGTCCAGGCCTCACGCAGGTCCCCCCGTTCTGGCACGGCGGCTGGCAGGCTGTGGGAAGGTGATCATTACTCAGGGACAGGGGCCCGGCTTGGCTTCCCGGGGAGGGGGCTGTGGGTCGGGTGCAGCCTCACCTGGGCCACATGTGCCCGGGAACCTGCTGGCGTGCGGCTGGCCAGGGCAGCAGGTGAGGTGAGACCCAGCAGGCGCCGGGCGGCTATGGCGGTAGGCGGTTCTGTAGACAGTCCTATGGGGACAGTTGTGGGTGCCCGGCCGGCCGGCCAGCAGAGGGAGTCGCAGCCAGCAAGCTCCCTGTGCCCGGCTGGGACTTCTGATGCGGGGAAGGCCAGGCTCTACAGGGCCCTGCCTCACTGCCCCCAGGAGGTCCTCCGGATCAGGAGCCCCGAGGGGAGTGGTGGCTCTGGGGCGCAGGACCAGACCAGGGTGCCCCCAGAACTAACGGACCAGCAGAAGCGAGGGTGAGTGAGGCAGCGTGGCAGGCGCCCCCTAGTGGGCAGGGCGGACAGCAGGGCTCACCTGTAGGTGCTGCAGGAGCGGTGCCTGGCACAAGTGGTCAGGAAGGGCTGGTACACCCGCTGCACAAACGACTCGAGCCCGGGCTCCCGGGGTGCCCCCAGAATACAAACGCCACGGCTGGAGGGGATTGGGGGTCAGCCAGGCACTCCTGCCACGACCCCCGACCTGGGGCTGCCGCGGCTGGGCGGCCAGGGACTCACCCAGGCCGGAATACATGCAGGGGACTCGCAGCCACTAGAGGAAGCCACAGCAGCAGCAGCGCCCCGGAGCCCTGCATGGCCCACGGGACCGGGAAGACCAGCGTCGTCCTCGCTGGGGCCTGGGGGACAGAGCAAGGCCTGTCGCATGCTCCACGGACCCCACGGGATGGCATCTCAGTCCCAGCCTCAGTGGGCAGAGCTGGAGCCCAGCACAGCTGACTCAGCCTTTCTGGACCTCATGCTGTCGACGGAGCGCTGGTGGGCTGCGGGGTGGGGAGGTTCCCAGCCAGTCTCTGGGCTGCCCCAGGAGGGGGGAATCCTCAGGAACAGCCACCCCAACCCCTCCGGAACGTGACCCCACCCTGGAAGTAACGGAGTGCGAGGTGTGGTCTGGGTCAAGGGGCTGTACTCCCGGGCATCTGCCTGCCTGTGGCCCGGGAGAAGGCCAGCACCCAGCCATGGGTGCCCAGGCCACGGACCCGGAGGCAGTGGGCATCCCCTGGCTCCTCGGTGCCCTACAGAGCAGTGTGTGTGTGTGTGTGCGCACACGTGTGACATGTGCATGCACGTCTGCATGTGAGTGCACACACGTGTGTGGCAGTGTCAGGCAGTTCCCCACAGGACTCAGTTTCCCCACTGGTCCCTTCTCTGTGGTGCTACAAGGCCAGTCTTTGCCTGGGGCAGCCGGAGAGGGTCCGTGCTGCAGCCCCTTCCACCAGGGCCGGAGGGAGTGTGTACGCCCCAGGTGTGCAGTCAGCCGGAGCTGTGCAGCTGTGCGGGAGACGAGCTCTGGGAGTGACCCTCGGGGTCCAGTCAAGGAGGGCACGTGCTGGTTCTGGCCCCTGGGGCCCTCAGGCCAAGCTGCAGCGAGAGGGACGGCGCTTCCCGGGCGCCACCGCATTTCTCAAAGTCATGCTCCCCCAGGAGGGAGCCTAGCAGGGATGCTGGGCTGGCAGGCTGGGGAGGCGCGGGGGGCGGCGTGGGCTCCGGGGCCACCTGCCCTCCCACGGGGCCGCCCGCGCCCCCCCTCCGAGCTGGGTCCGCAGAGGGAGGGGCCTCCGGGGCCGCAGGGTGAGAACCCCGCGCCCCCTTGCCGGGAAGCGCTCCGGAGTCCGGGGACGCCCGTGCGGTGCGCGGCGTCACCGCTGTAGCCCCCCGGCGCAGCCCGGGCCCCCCGCCAGCAGGGGGCGCCCTTTGCCGGGGCCGCCGGGCCCGTCCTCGGGGGCTGGCGCGGGGCTCGGCTCCCCGCGCTCCCGCCGCCGGAGCCCCGGGCCCGCTCACCTCTCGGGTCCCGGCGATCGCTCTGCGCCGCCCCCAGCTCCGTGCGCGGGGGACCCGCCGCCCGCCGGGAGCGGACCCTGCTCGGCGCCCCTCGCGCGCCAGCCCCGCTCCCTCCGCACTCAACCACCGATCCGGGCGCGCACGCGCCGCGCCGCCACCGCGCCGAGGGGCCCCGCCCCCGACCGCCGGCCCCGGCCAGGCCCCGCCCACCCCACCGCACGTACGGCCCCGCCCCGCCCCGCCCCGAAGCCCGCGGGGCCGCCGCCGCCCCCATTGAACGGATGGGGAAACTGAGGCCCGCGGTGAGTCAGCGGGAACAGATTCCTGCGGCAGAGCCCGGTGGCCCCAGAACGCGAGTCCCCGCCTCTGGTGCGGGACACAGGCCCCTTCCCGGCCGCCACATCACCCTGCATTGGGCCCGCGGGCTCAGTGACTCCCCCACCGGCCCCGCGTCTGTCCTCCATGTCCTCTGCAACCGGCCCCACGTCCCCACGTGGTAGAGGGTCTGCCCTAGGGCCCTTAAGGTGCGGCTGGCGCAGGTCATTGGACATGGCCGGGCCTGCAGCTCACCTGAACAGGGGCGCGCTTTCATGCCCCAGGACTGGTCACTGCTCCTCTGGGTGCGGGGAGCGGCCAGTGGCCCCCCAAGCCTGGGGCTGGGTCAGAGAAACGCTTGGATCAGTGCCGGGGCCGGTGGAGCCAAAATTTGCCGCTGCAGGAACTCAGTGTCCACAGTCCCTGGGGTCATGTCCAACGCCACCTGGGCCACAGCACCCCGGCTCCTTCTGCCTGGAGATCCGGGGACCCTCGCAGATGGACTGAGGGACACTGCTCTGGGGGCCCTGGCCATGCGAGGGCGCCCGCATCACTCCCCTCCCCGCAAGGCAGCCCCTGCAGCCTGGGGGCAGGCTGGCCAGAGCGGAGGGACCCCCAGGGTGCCGCCCTCCCCTTTGCCCTCCCCTTTGCTTCCTCACGGGAAATACGGGCCTTGGCGGGTCCACTGCCGGGGTGCAGGTGGGGACCCCAGTGCTGAGGTGGGCAGTGGAGCAGGAGCTGGGGTTCCTGGTGAGCTCTGACAGCCCCTCAGCCCAGCAGGAGGGGCTCAGCCCGCCTTGGGGTCTCAGGGAGGAGGGGGCACCCAGGGCTGCCCCAGGAGGCCCAAGGGGGGTCTGGTGAGCAGCGGTTGCTCTACCCCGGCCCTGGGCCTCGCCTCGCGCCCGCGCTGCCCTCCTGGAGCCCCCATACCTGTTCCTGCCCCGTGCGGGCCGCCGCCCCGCCATGGCCCGGACGCTGGGCCGGCTGAGCATGGGCGGCTATTTATGCGCGGGCCTGTGTGAGACGCGCCGGGCTGGGCCCTTCCCTGCCGGACTTCCTGTGAGTGTTCTCCACTGATAAGGGGGGCTCTGGGCCAACAAACGGGGGGGGGCTCGAGGGGGGAGAGCAGGGCCCCTGGAGCGGGGGACAGCAGATCCCATGGAGGGGTGGGTGGCTCTGGGCTGCCAGCGTCCCCTCAGACTGCGTTACTGGACCCGACTCCCTCTGTGTGTCCCTGAGGGGCTGGCCAGGGTGCTGCTGGGCAGCCCCAAGGCCCAGGGCCCAGCAGGAAAGGGCTCAAGTCTCCTCCTCTCTGTGGGGACCAGGGCCCTCCCGAGGTCTCTCTGCTAAGTCCCCTGCAGAGCACAGTGTAGGGACACCAGGGTCACTTTCTGGGGCTCCAGTCCAGGCCTGACCCTTCTCATCAGCCCGAGCAGGGCACCCGGGGGGGACACGCACTCCACCAGCCGACCTGCCTCTCCTCCCGCCAGCCCCCCAGGTACGGGAAATGGCCCAAAAGCTGAGCGAGAAGGTACGGCCCCCAGCCCCCGCAGACACACAGGGCTGAGACTGGCACTGCACTCATGCCAGTCCCCAGGCCTCAGTTTCCCCTTTGCTCCAGGGTGGGCCAAATGGGGAGGGGTGCTTCAGGCACTGCTGGTCGCTGTGGGAGACAGAAGGCACAGCTGGGATCCATCTGGGCTGAGCACGTGTGGGGAAACTGAGGCCCAGAGGCAGAGCAGCTCAGTGGGCCTCACCGTCAGGCCCCAGGACCCCCTTTCCACGTGTCTGCTCTTGGGCTCCACCGGCAGTGCTCACACTGCTCCTGGCCCTGTGCTCCTGCAGGCTTTGGGGCCATGGGGTGCCTGGGGTATGTGAGGGGGGTCACTTTGCCATGCCGCCGCCCCAGCCCCAGCCCTTGCCTCTCGCCCCCACTTCCTGTGGGGAGACTTGGGGCCCTCCAGACTGTGAACCCCAACTCTTGCGGTAGCCTGCAGACACCTACTCCCAGCCAGAGACTGGATCAGGGAGTTCCCACCAACGCACATGTGCGGGGAAGGTGCTGGTAGGCTGCTCCTGGGGCAGGTCACAAGCATGGAGAGGAGGGGGAGAGTGGGACCCCCAGCTGCGTCCGTCCCCCTCATGTCAGGGGCTCCAGTCTGCTGCCCCCAGCACCGAGGGCACCGCCCTGCTCAGATGTTCCCGCTTCCCCCAGGGAGAGGGCCGAGCCCCCGCACCGACCTCATGCCCCCCTCCTCCCCTCCGCCTTAGAGCCACAGAGCGAGTGTGGTGGAAGGTGGGCCCCGCTTAATCCAGGGGTTGGGGCGCGTAGTGCTGCCACTCCAGCAAATCTGGCACCGCTGGGTGGCTGGTCTGTGCTCGGGGCTGCAGGGGACCTCCCACCAATGACCAGGCCGGTAGTCATGTCCTGTGCCTCAGTTTCCCCCTCTGCCCCAGGTTCGGCCTGGCGTCCGTGAGGTCTCTGCAGCCCCCGGAGAGGCCGGCACAGCCTTACCTTCCTGCTGGCCAGGCGCTGGCTCAGCGGCGGGCGCCAGGACCCCTGGAACCCTCAGCTCCGAGCGCGCAGGTTGTGCGCCCGGCCGGGGCAGCATGGGCATCGCGCAGGGCCCCACTGCAGGAAGGAAGGAGTGCGTAGGGGACAGGAGAGATGTGCTTCCTGTTGGAGACAGAGCAGGCTGCGAAGCCATGGCAAGGGGCGTCCAGCTGGCAGCTGGACCTGTGCACACCTGCGTGGGCCCAGCCCAAGAGGGACGGGGGGGGGGGGGGGGGGCAGCCCTCTCCTGCCTGGAGGCCACGTGACTGCGGGCAGTCCTGGCAGGACAAGAGCGCCCCGTTTCAGCGGCAGCTGAAGTTGGGATTCACACTGTGAGTTGGGATTCACAGTGCCAGTGGGACCCCATGCGGCCCCCTACCTGCCCCACCCCCTCCTTGGGGACCGGCACACGCGCCCCATGTTTGCGGGCCCACGCACGCCCTGACTGGCCCTCCCTGGGCGTGTCCTTGGCCCTGGCCAAGGGTGCTCTGAGTGGGGGCACAGCCAGGGTCACCCCGCAGGCCGCCGCCTTTGTGAGCCCGCTGGGCGGCGTGTGAGCGGGAGGTGGCCAGTGGGCAGCAGGAGTGAGCCCAGGGGGCCCGGGCCGAGGAGTGGGTGTCCCCCCACAACGCAGGCAGGACGTGGGTTAGATGGTCTGGCAGATGGTGGCCGTTAGCATGGAGGGAGAAACACTCTGTCTCCGAGAAGCGGAGGAACGTCGGAAAAGGGTGTAGGCCTGAGGGGCTCAGGGCTTGGCCCCCTTGGCTGCCCCACCCCTGCCCACCTAGCATTGGCCCATCTGCCTTGATTTCCCCCACCCCACCCCTGCCCAAGCGGGCCCAGTAACGTCTCCATTGGAGACTTTGTTGTTACTGTGTCTGGCATATCGAATACTCTCGGTAGCTTGCCGGGCTCTTTGGCCCATCTGCCTTGATTTCCCCCACCCCACCCCTGCCCACCTAGCGTGGGTCCACCTGCCTTGATTCCCCTGCCCCTGCCCACCTAGCCTGGGCCCTCTGCCTCGGCTCCCCCACCCCACCCCTGCCCACCTAGCCTGGGTCCTCTGCCTCGGCTCCCCCGCCCCTGCCCACCTAGCCTGGGCCTTCTGCTTCGGCTCCCAGGAAAGCGTCACCCGAATGTATAGGCGGTGCTGGGACCTGGCTCCTGCCTCCTGGTCCCCACACTGTCCCAGGCCTTGGACCCAGCACTGGATCTCATACAGAACTGCCTGGGGTCCCTCCCCTGAGATCACCCCTCCATGTCCATCTGACCCTGGTGTGTCCCTGGGCTCCAACAGGATTCTCTGCCTCAGTTTCTCCATAGGTCAGGCTGAGACATGAAGGGGCTGGGAGGCTGGGGGTGGTCACTGGGCTCCCGTGGTGGCCAGCACATGTGTCCAGAGCTCCATTTGGGGCCCCTCCCCTCCCCCAGGGCTGTGAGCTTCTGGATGCAGGACAAAGGAAGGAGGTGCGGGCATCTGGACCAGGAATCTGGGCTTCCTCTCGGCCAGGAAGCAGGAAGCCCTGTGGGGGAGATTGGGGCCAGCCAGACAATGGGCCCCCAAGGGGAAGGGGATCTGCGTCACCAGCGGCCTGACTTCCCGGCCCTTTCCGGGTGACAAGCTGGGCTGCCAGAGGGAACTTCCAGCTTCGCTTCTGGGTCTGAGTTGTGGGTTCCCTATGGCCCTGGAGGCTGATCCCCCCATGACTGGGGGTCCGAGGACCCATCATTCTCCAGGGCCCCCTGGCCTGAGGAAGTGTCCCAGGCTCGGGGTGCAGACAGCAGAGGGGGTGGGGAAGTTGGCAGGAGGCCTCCTGGGGGACCCCTGCTGGGTCCATCCTTCCTGTGTCCAGACATGTTCCCTGGTGCCGGCCAGCCCAGGACACAGGGCTATCCTGTCTGCTCTGGCCTTGCTCGAGACCACCTGTCCACTTGCGCCCGGCAGGTACGGGGCTGAGCCGGGTCTTTCCTCGCGAGACTCAGGGCCTCTTTACAGCTGAGGGATGCTGTCAGCCCTTGGACCCTCTCCTGGCATCAAAGGACACCCCCTCCACACAAACCTCATGTCCGGCCGTGGGGCTGCAGCCCTGGCCCCCTCCCCCAAGGACGCCAGCTGGCCGCCCTGCCTGGACTCCGCTTCCTGAGCCCGCCAACCAAACAATGGCCGGAAAGGCCTCGGCGGCCGCACAGGGCCCTAGGAGTCCCGAGAACCCGGTCGGCCTGGGAACGTTCCAGAAGCACAACTGAGGCCAGGGCCTGCCTGCTCTGCACCGGGGAAGCCCACATCCACGCCTCCTTCCCGGGCCCTA